TAATCCCTGTCAGAACTTCACGCATCTAACAAGGCAAAATTGGGGTTAAGCAAGTTTAGCTTTCATTGTCTAGTTTTTGTGTAGCTTCAAATCCAACTAAAATATGATTGATGATTGAAGACAAATAAAATTGCATGTGTTTCTAGCAATCAGCTTTTTGGACATATTGAATTTAAAAAATATTGCAGATATTTACACCTTATGAATAAAAAAAATGTCCAAAAAAGAAAGAGAAGAGTAAAAAACAAACTCAAATTAATAAACAAAAGAAATAAAAATGTGTTTTCCATCGTATTTTCTACCTGAATTGGATAGTGCTCTTTTAATTGCATTGTGTTGTTGTACATTTTTCTTCTGCGATGGCTTAATGGCAACTGACAAGAGAATTAGTGGCAACAATTCAGTTGCATTTAACTCCTAATATTCACAGCAGTGGATGGAAATGGAAATTACATTCTTTTATGCTCAGATTGAAATTTGGCTTTGGTATGGCTTCCTGACATTAACATGTGTCCTGATTTTGTAGTTTAGGAAGATCACTTTACTTAGAAGTAAAATCCAAAGCGTGCACACTTGGAATATCCATAACATTCATTAACAGCACAGCAAACCTCTATGTGTGGCAGCAAATTTTTAACTGGACATTCGTCTGTACACTGTGATGGCAATTAAATCGCTGGTAAAAAGGTTAGCATCACTGATTAAAACGACAGCCAAAGCTACAAAAATAAGACCCAAGTTGTTATAAAGCAGAAGTAAAGGCTGACGTTTCTGAAGCAAAATGAGAAAATGCGTCTTTATTCAAATTATCTCCTGCAGAGGATGAGTTGTGGCACATCGTTGAAATGCTAAATTTGGGATTGAAATTCACTGTGCATGTCAGCAAATGAAAATTAAAGTTCAGAGGAGGTTTTTGCTGGCAGAGAAAATTTCATTTAAAATCCTGTGTGTGCCTTTTTATTTGCAACATACACCGGTGTAGACTCCCCCTATTCTATACTGGTAATCATGTTGAGGACTACAGAGGCGTAGCTGCCACAGGTAAATGATATCAGCAGGTACAGAGCAGAGACCGAATGCCATTACAGGAGAAACAGCCCTAGCAGCAAGGCATCCACTCTGCTTTGAAGTGCATTTGTCACATGAAACACAGCCGTGCTTGACTTCAAAGAGGGCATTACAATAGCTCCACGCCTTTCAACTTTGATAACAACATGTTCACTGTTTCTTTAACCGTCTGCTGTTGCCACCATTTTCCGCCAGCAGACAAGCTTTTTTTTTTTTTTTCAGAAACGATAGAACGACGAGAGAGAGGAGCGGCTGTCTGCGAGACAATGATAATATCCCACTGACTCAGGAGCTGATGAAGGTAACAGTAATTAAAAAGTGACAATGGTAAGCAAAGATGATTGCTGAGCCCAGGAATAAACATATAAATACACGCAAATGTCTACGGATTTACGGCACATACACAGAAGCTGCACACGCCGCCGTGCGCGGTGTCCCTTTGCGCGCACATGTTGATTTCGAAACACTGTTTGATTGGCCTTTCTATCTTATCTATAATAATGGAATTGCAATTAAATTGGCTGAACCGACTACAAGTAGCAACTGTTCCTGCCCAAAGTTTTCATTTCTGTCAGACAGAGAGGAGGCTGCCACAATTATGCAGAGATGATAAGAGAAAGAGAACAGTGACATGAACACAATCAAACGGCAATTCTAAACACATTTACACACATATACGTACACTCTGCCGCTCTCTAACTCTTCATAGAGCCAAATGAAAAACCTGCATAAAGCTTTAATTGGCCTTTTTTTAATAATGATAATAAAAAAAACTGCAGACATTTTCACTTGTCATAGCAGGAAAAGCATATGTGCATTCCTGATGGCTGCATTCCAGGGGAGTGAACGTTGGTTCGCAATCACAAGTTACTGGGACACTTAATGGAAATGAGTTGACATTAATTTTAATAATTCAACCGGTGCTGTTCCTACTGTGTGGTGTCAAAATATCTGCTGTGAAAAAGGTCTACACAATATATTAACCTCATTGAAATATTTCTCTTTTCAAATTATTTTAACACAGAAAATCCGAAATGCTCTCTCCTGAAGCACGCCTAACGAGCAGCGACATCAACGAGCAAACACATTTACAGGTGCACCGTTTTACAGCCGCAGAGGCTGCTGTCTCTTAGCAGGTGGCATCGTGCGATAAAAAGGGGGGAATCGACGCAGAGACAAGGAGATAAAACCACATTGACGGACAGGGGAGAGCGTCTGCACGGAAATTGAATCGCTGAAGCGCCACATATACTTTAGGAAAAAGCAGAGAGATGGGAAGAGGCGGAGTAGAGAAGGATGACACAGACAAAGGAGGGAGGGATGCTTAAGGATAGCTGCCGGAGTGCACACTAGGCCAGACAGATGAGAGTTTTGGTAATAAAAGCAGAGAGAAATTGGAGCAAGATGGAGCAGAAAAGGGAAAGAGACTCACGGACGCTTCCATTACATGTTCACGGCTAACAGTTCATCACAAGGCCAATTGTCAGCGTTGAAAATGAGAAAGGCGGAGGTGAAGTGGAATCCCGATAGCAGCTGACGAGGGTTAAATTCCCCATTGATGTGTGCTCGGGGCCTTTTCTCACTCCTTCACTTGCTTCAAATTTCTTTCCTCTAACACTTATTTTTTTCTCTGTTTCCCACAAGTCCATCACCCTGGTGACCAGCGTCTCCTCTCATCTCACATCAGCCCCCTTTAACTTTTACTCTAGACACGCACATGAAGCCCACAGAGCCCCCCTGAGATGCACAATTATCAGGCATCCAGCATCCAGGCGGGGACTTAAGAGAAGCCATTAGCTAACAGAGTCCCCACATCTCCAGGGGTTTGACGCACTTTCAAGGAGATGGCAGACAACTATTGTATGTTGCTAGACTCATCTAATCTCGCCGCTCAATGGAAATTACTCTTGTCAACAAGTGGATTTATTAGGCATTTACGAGCGGTTGACAAGACAAGTCTCTGTGTAATGGAAAAAATGACACATAACATTAAATAAGACTAATCCTGATTTAGAAAACAAATAGCATTGGTTTAATTAGAAAACAATGTTTGTTATTATTAGGAAGCTGATTAAGTTCTGTATTTTCTATTGAAGGAGTTTACAACAGCAACTATATTCAATTAGAACCTTGCTTTCATGCCAGCAATCACTGTTAAAGAGTAGGAGTCATATTTGTGAAATGCCAGATGACTCATGTCAGCATGAATTACTTCATCTTTTCTACATGCTCAGTAAAGACTATGGGGATGGGTAGAAATGTGGATCTTGTTTTTTTTTTTTTAAAGAGTGAAACAGGCCATGGCCGTGCAATTCAAACAGGAAAAGGTAACATATAAGAAAAAGAATACAGACAAAAGCAAACGAAAGCACAAAAATGGCTTGTCACTGTCTGTGCCCCCTCTCTCTCTCTTCCTTCCTCTTTTCCTTTCAGCTTGTATCCTTGAACCAGACTCTCAGAGAGAAATCCAATTTCTGTTAACAGCACCATGTTGTCCTGATAGGATCTATCACCTGGAGCTAGAGCTGCAGCCACAGACGCAGTGCACTGTGGACACATTGTGAACTACACCTGTTACAACACTGACACACACTCATAACACCATACATGCAGAGATGCTCACACACCAAATGGATGGATGCTTGAACTTTGTGGACGCTAACAGAGGTGGATAACATATTTTAAAAAGCAGAAATAACACAGTTCAGCAATCTGCAATGCAAAAATTTTACCAGCACAACAAGTAGTATCACAAAAAATGTAATCAAGGAACAAATAAAAGTCCTCATTATCCTCATTATGCAGCATTTTAATGTAGCTGAAATGTTGCCTCAGTTCAACCTTACAATGCATATGCTATAAGCAGGGAATTTGTTGTGCATGTAAAACAACTGTTGTAATTAGTGATAGCTGGCCAATGAATGTAGCTGTGTAAGAAGCATAACATTACCATCTGAAATGAATTAAATTATAAAGTGCCTAAAGCTTGTACTCTAGCACGGTACTTATGGTCCACCACAGGATACTAATACTGCAGTCTGTCCAGCTTACTTGTGTTTTAAAGGCACATAAGGGCACCCCAGAGAAATCCATACATCAAGACAGTCACACAAAATGTGACAAACACATGAACATATCAATCCCCGCTGTTTAGAGCTTTGTGATAAGGTGTGGCGTGTTTGATCTGAGCAGTTCAATAAAATGGCAGAGACACCGATGGGTGGATCACAGCCTGTCTGTCTGTCTGTCTGTCTGTCTGTCTGTCTGTCTGTCACCTTGCCACCGACACCCTCCCCTGCACACATACACACACCAAATACAAAATGTGTCTGGTTCCTTGACACTACAGGATTTCTCCAGACATCTAATAAAGTCAGCAAAGTGGTCAGAAATCAACACTTTGCCAAGTGATTTCAGGAAAATTTCAAGGAAATTTACTGATCATTTCCTGCCTTTCTGGCAATAGCATAGTCATTTTTATTAAATGTTGGTGGTCATAAAGTGAACTAAATAATAAACTGTTTAAAAAAACACACACACACACACACACACATTACCCTGTAGGAGTACAAAGATATTTATATTTGAATTTCAGTTTGTTTTTTGCACTATTTCACACTGACAGTTTGATTTATTTATTTTGCTTCTATCTATCTATCTATCTATCTATCTATCTATCTATCTATATATATATATATATATATATATGTATGTATTTCTTGTGTGTTTTATACTTTAATCTTCTTATTCATATTCTTATTGTTTCGATCAGGAACAGGTGCACAATACATTTCACTGCATGTTATATTATGTATGATTATGTTTGTGACCAATACAGGCCTTGAACTCTATTTTAGTTTAGTTTTTTTTCTTAACTCAAAGGAAAGTTTAGATTTAGAGTGATGGATGAAGAGTCAGGTGGAAACAAGTACCTTCATTGCCTGGGCTTTCTTGTGAAACATCTCCTCCATGTTCTCAGCCAGCCTCTTTACCAGCCGCAGCCCATCGATCTCCTCCACCCGCACAGCCCGCTCAAACTCCTTGTATTTCTGTAACAAAGCCACACATCCATGTTAATAGGGTGCAGCTCCTGCCACATTCAAACAACAGAAATGATGCATTTTCATTCCAATAAACTGTGTCAGATGAATCTGGAAAAAAAAGAGAAGAATGCTGCTTTATACTCAATGCAATTGTTATATGATATGAAATATGATCATTCCAAATTCTGTGTCTCATGAGTTTCACGTTTTTAACACATACATTATCCAGACATTTGGAAGTAAGAAAGATTTAAAAAACAAAAACAAAAAAAAAAACGGTCCCACACGTCACAAAGTCAAAACAAGCATAGTTGATACAACAAGTGTTGTGTATACCGTGTAGCCAGGAGTAGCCGTGGTAAAATTACAACACATACTGAACAAAAGTATAAACATGCTAAGTAATATTTTGTTATATTCTATCCATTCCTTCTAACACAGAGGAGTAAATATTTGTTATTCCAACACACAGCTTCTCCACAACAGAATGGAAGTCATGATCGAGAGTGCAGTCATCGAATGGAAATCACGAGTCAGTAATAAGCGTGTGCACCATTTGCATGGTGCAGTGCCACAGATCTAAAAAGAATAGAGCTGATGAGGTTGCAAATGCTGTCTGGACTGATGTTCCATTCTTTCTGAAGGGCTTGGCAAAGTTGGAAGACATTTTGGGGGACATGATCACGCTATTGGACACATCAATGCAAAGAATCCCACAGATGTTTGATAGCTGACAAATCTGGAAAGTATTTAGGACACTGTAGGAGTAAAACACTTTCAGCTGCTACTATAGAAGGGCAGTGTGCATGACAACCGTAAGTGTCAAGATTTTCATCTTAATTTTATTGTGCAATGACATTTCCATCGATAAATTGCAGATACGTTCACCGTCCAAAGCATATCCCTGCCCACACCGTCCATCCACCTCCATGGGTCACTCTCCATACAATGTTGACATTTGCATAATCTCACCCTGTGCAACGCCAAACACGATGTCTCCCATCTGCTCTACAGTGCTAAAAACTGACAATGAAAAGGCCTGTCCTCCATCTTGCTAGCATCCAACAAATGTGAGTGGTTGCCCATTTGGAGCACGTTATGATGCCACTCTGCCGTTAGATCAAGACCTCGGTGTGGGAAACGAAACTGCAAACCGACTTTCCTTCAGGCAGTTCCTTACAGTTTGAGCAGATAGTCTCTGGTTGTGCACGCCAACAACTTCATCAGCAGTCTCTGCAGGTGAAGCGTCTTTCTTGTGGCATCTGTGGCATCACGTCATCCGAATGAAGCTGCATTTTGAGGTGGCCTTTTATAGTCACATATGCATATACTATATACACAGTAGGCTAGATATAAATTATTGAGGACTAAAAATATATTATCAGTAATTCAAAAGTGGAAATATAGCTTAGTAGGAGTTGTTCCTTCAAACTAATCTACATATAAACGAAACCAATCAGCTCAACTGAGAATTACGAGCCTGCTTCGAGTGTTACCTACCACACATTAAGCACTGATGACACCGCTGCCCTTAGTGTCTGCACTACACAAAATCACATTATTCTGCCATAAACCTATACTAGGGTGCTTAGCTTAACCAGCGCCTTAACTGGGGACAGTGACATTAAGTCTGGCTAATTCCACACCCATACATGCCACATTCACATACACACACACACATATGTGGCGCTGTTCTCTGCGCGAGGGTGTATGTGTGTCGCGCAAAAAAAAAAGAAGAAGAAGAAGAGAAGAAAAGAAAACCATTTTTGAAATCTGTGCAAAGCTGCAGGCGGTTGTGTTTCACTCTTGGGGGATTTAACAGAAGATTACCGCCATATCAAATAGCATGCCCTCTCTAATGTTATGCCAACCTGCTTAGACGCATGCTCTTAGCTACCCCTGTACCGCAGCACACATGAGGAGCAAGGCGAGGGGAGAGAGATCACAGTAGGAGGTGGGGAATGGGGACAGAATGACACACTCAGGTGGCAGCTTTTGAATCTAGGCAATCATCCAAAAACTGCAGGGCAGAGAGGAGTATTTGCGTCATACCAAAACTTTTGCTTAGGGTGAATACTTTTGTTGTAACCACAGTGTATACAGAGATGGACGCAGCCTCTGGGGTCTGAAAAGTGAAACCTATACCAAATATGCTACGCCTATGCTGCATTCTTTCTAATGGTCAGTAGGGGGCGACTCCTCTGGTTGCAAAAAAAGATTGTATAGAAGTCAATGATAAAAATGACCCTATTTCTAATTTGATCTGTTACATCAGTAAACATGATATTTTTGGTTTTATGTTCTCAATCAGGAGTTAGAAGACTTTTTGAGTCCAGCATTAAGTTTATTTTGTGAAGTTACGATCCCACTGAGAGAGAAAAATCAATAAGAAATCACTGTGCTTTAAGGCGGAGCCACATTGTGATTGACACATGTCACACCCACTTGTCACACCTTACACCTGGTTTTAAAAGACCAACATGGCGACGGCTAAAGGCCAAACGTGAGTCGTTTGTGAGTCGGCATCCCCAAACCAATGGGTGATAAATCCATGTTTATACAGTTTATTGCTGTAGCAGAGAGGGAACTCGTGAATGTAGAGAGATTGAGCAAAATGTTCTGTGACTTTAGCGGGCAACAATTAAGATAAGTCAGTTTGTGGTGCAATGTTACTGAAAACAAAAAGGAAAGCAGAGAGACACTGATTCGGATCACTCTTTGTTATCTTGCTCGAATTTGCGCTTAGATTTTGCATTCACTTGTGTGTGTCTGTGTGTGACAGATGATAGGGGCATCCTTGAATTTGTGCCATCCCGAGAGAAAGACCCAGCTAGACAGACAAAGAGTTGGGTAAGAGAGATAAAGAGAAACAAAAAAAGCGAGATGGAGAGAGGTAGAGAAGAAAGGCCGTGATAGGGAGAGCAAACTGTGTGGGTGCAAAGAGATTCAAGAGATGCAAAGACAGGCAGCGGGATTAGGAATAAAGGGAAGGCGGAGAGATGTTAAGGGTGAAAAGTGAGGGTAGAAAGTGGAGGAATAGGATGATGGAGGAACAGAAGGAGCATGGAAAGATAATATTGATGTGGGAGGTCAGAGGGCGGGTGAAATGCTATCTCCATCTGCAGCGCTGCAGGAGGACATAAATAAAGGAAGCCAGGTTAAAGTCACAACATTTCATTTAGTTGTATACTTACAACATAAAAAGCAAAAAAAAAACAAATCCACTGATTTCTACATTTACCATTACAAGCAGCAAAGGTATAAGGAGTTCAAGGACAGAGCCTTAAGGTGTAATACTCCTGTGATGCTGGAACGATCATGTGACAGAGAAGTGCTAGGTAAAGGATTAAAATAAGAGCCTTGGTAGATGGAATTTCTTTTGATAGCAATTATAGTGATTAGAGGAAAGAGGGTCTAACTCATCAAGGTACTTTTCAAGGAGATGATTGTCCAACTTACAGTATAATGGAAGCTGGCAGGTGAACCTCATGTTTTGAATAAGTGGTTCTTTTTACCAAAGGTTAGTCAGGAGAGAGATTTAAAGACTAGTACAGCAAAGAGCAACGGGAAGAGGTACTGACAGTAAGAAGCCAGGAAAGATTGAATAGAATCAGGCTCAAAGGGAAAACACTCACTGTTTGTTTCATCTTTATCTCCATATCATAGCATCAACACTGTGTTCACAGCCATAACACTGAACAGTCTGTGTGTCTTTGAAATGCTGCCGAAATGGTGCATCACTGCCAAATTCATTGGCATGCCATGGCCAATTTGGAATATCAAAATTCTCTTCAAAAGTACTGGCGCAGCCATCCAAAAAAAAATGCTTCTGTTTTGCATATGGTAAAGACTGTAAAGAATGAAAGGAAAGCCCCTTTCAGACATGCACTCGACTTTCCATTAACGTGATGCCCGTGGAATGTGTCAGTTTCATATCTGAATAAGCACCCTGTTCATTTTTCTCTAAAAGTTGCAACATCAATCTTATTAGGTTGGACCTAGAAACAATTACGTCTCACTTTTGAAAGTATAAAACAGCATTCAGTTGTATGCAGATTCAACATGCAACATGGTTTTGGTAGTTCTTTAATTGATTAACGAGGTCGCTTTCCATATGTAGTTAAGGGAAAGCATACATGTGCACAATTATTGTGCTACTGCTGCACATATCCTGCTGTGAGACCGTGAAACTGAAAAAAATCTCTGTAATAACAAAAAATGATGACAGAAAAATACTTTGACTTTACCAGATGGATCAGACTTGTACAATAAAATAAGATCCTGGCAGCTGTGATGGAGCTCAGAACTCAATCTGAGGACTGCTGTTATCCAGTTATTTAAGTGTAGCGTATAAACTGTGACTGTGTGAAGCGAAGAATGTCTTTGCCCTTTAGATCCAGACTGGTGCAGTCCTCCACGTTGGTACGCTTCCTGCTAATTTAGGTTTCGTCTTTTGTTCATTAGTAGCTCCTTGGACTTTGATGTGCTGTCCAAGCTTGCACCTATGGCAAACATTGTGTACATAGTCGCTCTCTAGCTGTCACTGTCTGCATCGAGCAATGAGAAACATTCATGTAAAAGTGATCTGAATGAAAGAATGCTGTCCCTTTAACAGATCGATGAGACCAGCAATGTTCATGTCTGAAAAGAGCTTAAGAATTAGTTCCTGAGAAAGTTCACCTGAATTATTTTTAACATCTGTTCAGACAGATTTTCACAAGTTTTACATTTTCTCACACAAACCTGAGTCTCTCAAACAACAGTCCTGCTAATTAATTGCAGCCTCAAATAACACAGTCTGTGGCCAATCAAAGTGACTGGCTGATGACTCAGAAGCCAAATCACAGCGACGGTATGACGGTATGAACATCAGAACGATAATCCCACTGGCTGACTGACAACTGCAGTATGACAGAGGGACAGAAAATCCAGGTTTTAAGCCAATCCTGGTTCCTGGCTAACTGTGGTGGGCTGTTAAAGCTGACAGGTCAGCAGAGGCTCAAACC